TCATCTGATCACAGAAGAATAAAGCCAGAAACTAACCAGAGACTACAGAAAATATGAACAACACACCACTGAATGATGAAAGGGTCAAAGAAATCAGAAGGGAAATTTTATAAGTCCTAGAATCATTTAATTTAATCATTTAATCATTCAAAAACAAAAACCTGTGGGATACAATTAAGCAGTTCTGAGAAGGAAGCTTATAGCTACATATACCCACATCTAAAAGTCAGAGCTTTCAAATAACTTAATCATGGAACTCAATTATTAGAAAAATAAGAATGAGTCAAATATGAGATCAATAAACAGAAATAAGGATCAGAACAGAGATTACTGAAATGGAAACACAAAGAATGGATGAGCCAATGAAACAAAGAAATAGTTCTTTGAAAATAAGGTTAGCAAATCCTTAGCCAAAGTAGCTGAAGGAAAGAATACCCAAATTAATAAAATTAGAGATGAAAAGGGAGATACTACAATAGATAATAAAATTCAGAAGATCATTAAGGCATACCAATATGAAAACTCTTATGCCAATAAACTGGAAAATTTTTTAAAAATAGATAAACTTCTAAGTACATATTGTCTTAGTTACTTTTTTATTGCCATGAAGAGATACTGTGACAAAGACAACCTGTAAAACAAAGTATTTAATTTGGGGCTTAGTCTCAGAGGGTGAATTCATGACCATCATGGCAAGGAACCTAGTAGTTAGGTGGCAGGCAGACAAGCAGGTATGACCCTGGTGCAGTAGCTGAGACCTTACATCTTGAGATACAAGCAGCAAGCAGAGAGAGCACACTGGGAATGAATACTGTGGACTTTTAAAACCTCAAATCCCACTCACAGGACACACCTCCTCCAACAAAGCCATACTTCCTAATCCTTCCCAGAACAGTTCCACCAACTAGAGATCAAGTATTCAAATAAATGAATCTCTGGAAGGCTGTTTTCATTCAAACCACCATGCATGTGAACTACAAAAATTTAAACCAAGATATAAATAACTTAAACAGACCTATAACAAGCAATTAGTCCGAAGTAGTAGAAAAATAAATTTTAAAAAATCCAGACTCAGATGGTGTCATCACTGAATTCTATCAGACCTTTTGTACAGTTTTGAATATTTAAATTTCTTAGTATGTGTGCACACATAAATATTAATTGTGGTTTGAATAAGAACAGCCCCCCAGAAGCTCATATATTAGAATGCTTAATCACCAGGGAGTGATTTGAAAGAATTAGGAGGTGTGGCCTTGTTAAGAGAAAGTGTGTCACTGGGTGTGGGCTTTGAGGTTTCAAAAGGCCTTATTGGCCCAGGTTCTCTCTGCCTGTGGATCAGGATATGAAGGTCTCAGACACTACTCCAAACTCTGTCGGTGTGCTGTCATACTCCCCGTCATGATAATGGACTAAGCCAGCTCCCAGTTAAGTGCTTCCTTTTATAGGAGTTGCCTTGTTCATGGTGTTTCTTCACAGCAATATGACAGTGACTAGGACACCAGAGTAATGTTGTGCAGTAGAGGTCAGAAGATAACATTCAAAAGACAGTTTTCTCTTTCTATAGATCAAACCCAGAGTTTGTATGGCAAATGCTTCTTCCTATAAGCCATCTCTCTGGCTGTCTACCAGAACTTTTTATAAACATCATTTATCAACACGGAGAGTCAGTGGTCAAGATGAGTGTAAAGATTCTCAATGCATTCAGAGAATGAATATAGCACCAAAAGAGAAAGTAGTATAATTATATACCTGGATTCATGACATCACTAAACACTCAAAAATATTTAGGCGAGGTTCAGTGGTCTGGACCTTTAGTCCTGACTGTTTGGAAGGCTGAAGAGAGAGGATAGATGGCATCCTGGAGTTGAAACCCAGCACCAACAACACAGTAGATTCCCCCTCCACCACACTAAATAACTCACTTTTATTACTAAAAGGTGTGGTTTATAATTCTTTCAGAACTCTGGCATTCTAAAACCTGGAAACATCCCATATTTAGTTACAAGGACAACTTAAAAACTTCCAGCACCATTTAAGAAGTTGTAGGTCATTTTCTGACAACTGAATTAATCAGGTAATCATCACACATGACAGGAATGTAGCAGAATGCTCTAAAAACAATGAAAATATTTTTGAAGAAAATAATACATGCTCCATATCCAGACAGACTGAATTACACTTCAAATGCACAAACACTTGCTTCTAATTATTTTTTTTTCATTTTTCGAAACAGGGCTGGAGAGATGGCTCAGAGGTTAAGAGCACTGACTGCTCTTCCAAAGGTCCTGAGTTCAATTCCCAGCAACCACATGGTGGCTTATAACCATCTGTATTGAGATCTGGTCCCCTCTTCTGGCCGGCAGATAGGAAGACAGAATACTGTATGCATAATAAATAAATAAATAAATCTTTAAAAAAAAACATCATTTATCTTTTTATATATGGGTATGTTGCCTGAATGTATGTCTGTGCACCACAAATATGCAGTACCTGCAGAGGTCAGAAGAGGTTGTGAGCTGGAGTTACAGATGTTGTTAGCTACCATGTAGATGCTGGAAATCAAACCCAGGTCCTCTAGAAGAATAGCTAGTGTTCTTTTAAACATTAAGTCATCTCTCCTGCCCCTACCAGACCTTTAAAGAAAAACCAATAATGGTCCTCAAAGTAGTCCATATAATAAAAAAGGAACACTACCAAATTCATTTTATGAAGCCAGTATTACTCTGATACCAATCATGGACAAAGACTCACAAAAAAGAAAATTATAGGCCAATACACTAGAAGAACTCAAGCACTTAAAATCCCAGTAAAATGCTTGCAAGCTAAATTCAATAATACATTATAATGATTGTTTACCATGATCAAGTTAGCTCCTTTCCAGAGAATGTAACGATGATTTGGCATATGTAAGTCAATAAGTCAATGAGCATAACATACAACATAGACTCAGACAGAAATCATACTATCATCTCAACAGATACAGAAAATACTTTTGACAAATTCCAACACCCCTTAATGATGAAAGCCATGAAGAAATGAGAAACAAAAGAAATATAGCTCAATATAATAAAGGTTACATATAAGCCAACATTTTCCTAAATGGGAAAAAAGTCTAAGGGTATCTACCCTCTCCACTCTGATTAAATATATTACTTGAAGTCGTACCTATGACAAGAGAAATAAGCAATGCAAATAGACAAGAAAAAAAGTCAAAGTATTCCTGTTTGCACACAATATGATCATCACATACTTAAGAAGTAGGACTTAGTGCGATGGTTCAGCAGGTTAAGAGTGCTTGACATACAAGCCTGGTAACCTGAGTTCAATTCCCAAAACCGATAATAGAAATAGAAGACCAACTCTCAAAAGCTGTCCTCTCAAGTACACATACACTGAAGAGACAGTCAAATGGCTTTCTGAAGAGATCTGATAGCAAAAGATGGTTTCTAAATATATTTTCTTCCAAAGCTCTAGTTTATTGGTATCATCAATATGAACACTTAAGGAGGCCTTTCTGGTCCAACATTCAAGGACTTAGAATGCCGGCCATTTTCACAAACAAAGGAAGAAGAAAGTCTTAGATGATGGTGCTCATAGACTTAGGGTTTGGCAAGGGTCTCTTACAAATAGAGAATGCCATTATCACATTCAGTCATAGTTGGGGAGCGTAGCAAAGGGTCACTCCAAGGTTCCCATTTTAATTGGCACTAAGAGTTCTTATAATCTAATTACCTTCTACAGACTCCACTCCCTAATGCCATCACTGTGAACATTTGAGGGGACACAATCATTCAGACCATAATGAACTTCCATTTCACAGAGGAACATTTTTCATGACTTAATTAATGGCAAGAGAAGTACAGATGCAGATAATCTTGTACAGAAGAGCATGGGAGGTCATTTTGAAGAGGAAAGCTGAGGGAGGTGGGGAATGGAGGAAGAAGATTGAGATCTGAGAAGAGTGGTTTATTGAAAACCAGGCAAGGTGGCACACACCTTTAATCCCAGAGCTCAAGGCAGAGACAGGAAGACCTCTGTAAATTCGAGGCCAGGCTGGATTACACAGTGAGTTCTGGTATAGTCAGAGTTACATAGTGAGACCCTGTCTCAAAAAAGAAATAAAAAAAAGAATTTATGTTGAAGGGAAAACTAGATGGAAATGACTAAATAAAAATATTGGCAGATAACTCTCAGAAGTAAATGCAGTTTGGAGATAATGATTCTATGATATTAGCCTAAGGAAACTAATAGTATGGTTTACTTATCCCATTCCCAAAAGCCTCAAAATCAGTGAATGCCAATGTGTAACTCTGTTCAAGAGCAAGGGCTGAGAAATTGCCTACAGGTCAATAACCTGGTTTTCTGACGTTCAAGGGTAGGAAAATGATATCCCGGCATAACTTTTAGATCAATCCAGGTCTCAACCAATTAGACAAACTCACAATGGTGAGGCAAATCTTCCTTATTCAATCTACTTAAATCTATTTCTCAGATACCCTTTCAGGGATATACAGAAATACTGTTTTACCAATTACCTGGCATGTTAATTTTTTGCCAACTTAACACAAGCTATCGTGATCTGAAAGAAGGAAACCTCAACTGAGACAATTCCTCCATAAGGTCCACTTTGTAGGCAAGCTGTGAGACATTTTCTTTATTAATGACTGATGTGTGAGGGGAACACCCGCCCATTGTGGATGCTACACCCTGTGCAGGCAGTCCTGGGATATGTAAGAAAACCAACAGAGCAAGCCAGGAGGAACAAGCCAGTAAGCAGCATTTTCTCTGTGGCATCTGCTTCAGTTCCTGCCTTGAGTTTCTGCCCTGACTTCCTTGAGTTATGGAGTATGACCTGAGAGTTGTAAGATGGCCATGGTGTTATCACAGCAATACTGGGCATCCCTTATTCCATCTAAACTGCTTGAAAGGCATGGTAAGATAATATTCATGAGCTAGATATAAGGAAGACATGTAACACCCTCCATTTTCTACATACATACCTGCTGTAAGAGCTGTTGGCAGAGTGTCAGGAGATATTCTCAACATTCTGAGACTGGGGGAAGGATAATTCGACTCACTGGTTGGTTCTTGAGGAAAAAATGAAGGCAATGGAGTTGGAAAAGTCTGGCTAATGCCCAGATTAGAATGGTCTACCTATGAAATTAAAAAAGAAATGAAAAAAAGATTCTATTAATTTGACATTTAACTTGGCTAAAAAACCAAACTTCATTATTATAAAAATGGATACTTAAGAGGTTTAATAATTTTTATTTTAAGTTTTTTAACTTAATTTCATTTGACACGTGTGTTTTGTCTGCATGTATGTATGTGCACCTGGTACAGAGTTCAAAGGAGGTTGTTGGATCCCCTGGAATCATTTATAGATGGTTATGAGTCACCAAGTGGATATTGGAAATAGAATCCAGGTCTTCTTCAAGAACAAGTTGGGGCTGTAGAGATGTTGTAGCAGTTAAGAGTACTGGCTGCTCTTCCAGAGGATCTGAGTTCAATTCCCAGCACCCATAACTGTCTTGCTCCAGTCTTTGAGGATACAATACCATTTTCTGGTTTCCAAGGGCACTGCATAAATGTGGTGCACAGATATACATGCAGGCAAATCATCCATACACAAAATAAAGTACATCTTTAAGAGAACAAGTACTCGAGCCGGGCGTTGGTGGTACACACCTTTAATCCCAGCACTCGGGAGACAGAGGCAGGCGGATCTCTGTGAGTTCGAGACCAGCCTGGTCTACAGAGTGAGTTCCAGGACAGCTTCCAAAACAATACAGAGAAACCCTGTCTCGAAAAACCAAAAAAAAAAAAGAACAGATACTCTTCTCCAATGACCTATTTCCCAGTTACCAGTTCCCAGTTACTTATGATCATATATTCTTCCCAGGTGTGGTGGCTAGCGCCTGAAATCTCAGAAGACTGAGGCAAAAGAATCACAAGTTCAAGGCCAGTGGAAGCTAACAGTGAGATCTGGGCCAGTCTAGTCACAGTGTAAGACTCATATTCTCAAGCCATTTGAATTCATATATAGATCATATTTTGTTTGGTGAAGACACCATTAATGGTTCTGTGTTTTAGAATGCTGCCTTATACAACATCACATATCAGTGACTAGTGGTATTAAAGCATAAACATGCATAAATCTCTACTGGAGTCATAGGATACTTAGGTAAAAACACAAAGCACTATTAGACTTATAAAAGATTAGTCTAGTCATGCAATCTCATAACAGAATCCAAAAATAATCATATCTGTCTACTTACTTATTTGGAGATAGGACCGATCTACCTACCTACCTACCTACCTATATGGAGGTAGGATCTCATGTAGTCCAAGTGGACCTCAAATTCCTCCCTACATAGCTGAGTCTGGCTTTTAACTCCTGATCCCCATACACTACTTATCATATTTTTATTGGTTGGGTTTTCAGTTCTCAACCAGATGTAGGAATTAATACTCTACCTCTATTTCCCTAACACTTTCCTAAGCCTGGTAGCTCTCTTTTGGAAAAGTCCAGTACCTAGCAGTGTCAGGAAACATTTTCCATTGTCATAACTGATGAGATCATGAGTAGTAGGACAGGGAGCCACTAGAGATGCTAGAAAACAGAATAAAATAGAGAGTATCTCTCTAGATCAAATAAACATATAATCCAAAATATAAGTGCTGAGAAGTCAAAAAAAATCCCGCTCCTAGGATGTTTTTTAGTATAGCTTGTGGGGACAAGGCAGAAGAGGAAGAGGAAAAGGAGACACAGGTGGATACAAAAGAGTAAATTAGTTTCTCCTACTCTTACAAAGGAAGAAAAATTATTACAGTCTTAACTTAAATATAGAATGGAAAGGATGAGAAGTATTTAATAGACCAAGAGATCCAAGGGGACTATTTGAAAATGAGAGGGAACTAAGAGGAAAATGCTAAGATTTATTTCCCATTTTTTAAATCTGTGTATGGTGTGAATGAGCCCAGGGCCTTGGGCATGCTAAGAAAATGCTCTATCACTAAGCTAGGTTTTCAGTCCCTTAATTACCATTATTAAAGATTTATTTTTGTCGGGTGGTGGTGGCGCACGCCTTTAATCCCAGCAGGAGGCAGAGGCAGGCAGATCTCTGTGAGTTTGAGGCTAAGCTGGACCGACAGCCTCCAAAACAATACAGAGAAACCCTGTCTTGAAAAACCAAAAAAAAAAAAAAAAGATTTATTTTTATTTTTTTGTGTTTATGTATGTATGTTCGTTCCATGGATACAAGTGTCCTCAGAGACCTGAAGAGAGTGAGAATCCCATGGAGTTTTGGTTACAGGTGGGTGTAAGTCACCTCATGTGGATACTGAGAACTAAATTCAACTCCTCTGGAAATTCTTATTTTGATCACCAATGAAAAGAAAATAAAAGATGAGCAAGAAACTTGAGAAATGCTAACATTCTATAAAAAAGGAGAGTGTGCAGGATCTTAGGGAAAGTGTGAGCTAATTTAATATAAACAAGTTGCATTTGAGGTGAGCATAACATTCATTTAAAAAATTCATGTAAGATACCAGAAAGGGCCTAATTCAGAAAACATCATCTAAAAGTACAATTAATATCAATCCAGAGAAAACTAGATTGTTTTTGTTTGTTTAGTTTTTTGTTGTTGTTGTTGATTGTTTTTTTCAAGACAGGGTTTCTCTATGTAGCCCTGGATGTCTGGAACTCAATTTGTAGACCGGGCTGGCTCAAACTCGGAGATCTGCCCGCCTCTGCCTCCCTACTCAATGAAATATTGTAAAATATGAATGAAAGTAATCCACACTAATCCAGTTTGAGAGGACAAATTAAGTGAACTACTGTGTACCTGTGAAGCTCTTGGCACTGTACTTGAGGAAAGTGACAGCCATTATTTCTATCCCCACTCTCATACTGAAAACTCAAACACCTACTTTAGAATACTAAACAAAAGAAACCCCATGAAACTTTCTTACATAGTCAATAACCTATACATAAAAGGAAAACTCTTCATGCTACATTTATCCATTTTCTCATATCAACTTCTAAATCTAACAAGATACAAAGACATATCACAAGTGAGACCCAGTTTAGTATCGACAGCATCACACAAACAAGGATGGGACTCAAGGAAATTTAAAGCCAAGGGGATCCCAAAATCTAAGCAAATGAAGTCTTATAAAGCATTTTAACAAGTCACCATTTTCTAATAAAGAAACAATGATAACAGTGACATAAACAGGTGGGGGCGATGCAGGCTTATGCAGCTCATAGAAGGAGGCAGTTAAATCCCTTCAGAAAGACTGACTAGTTTGAATTCTAAGCACTTCAGTGTTCTTCCCAGGGAAACAATGATACTTGACATTTTCTTAAATGCCTGAAGTCAAAATTTTCAAGAACTTCTACATAGAAATACTTGAGTGTCTCAAGGTTGGTACTAAAGACCACAAGGGAAAGTACAACTCAATGTCCTCATGAATGTGACTAGTTTTCATGTGTTCCAAAGATTCTTGCTAGCCTAACACAAAAAGGATACCTCAAGACAAAAAGCCTGGAGGGTCAAGTGTGGTGGTGGATGCCTTCAATCCCAGCACTCTGAATTCAAGGCCAGCCTGGTCTACACAGCACTCTCCAGGACAACAGACACCTTGTGTCAAATTTTTAAAAAGATAAATAGCCTATACCTCTAAAAGATGTCCTTTTCTAAGACACTATTGAGCTCATGAAGTCAAGCTGGGTAGTGATGACACACACCTTTAATCCCAGCACTAGGGAGGCAGAGGCAGGTCTCTATGAGTTCGAGATCAGTTTGGTCTATAAAGCAAGTTTCAGGAAAACCAACACTATAAAAAGAAACCCTGTCTGGATAAACAAAACAAACAAAACACTTAAGAGTCATGGTCTATAAAACAATCTTTATGTTAACACTTAGTACATCATATTCCTGGGTATGATGTGAAGACTACATTGTGGGTCAGAATTGGTATCAAAAGATAAGTGAGCCTTTTACTTTCATTATCATTTTTTCAACTAAAATATTCCTTTACCGATCCATAAAGAAATGTCAAGTAGAGTAACTTACAGGCTTTTCAAAATGGCTCTCCTCAGATGATAGTTGTGAAGTAGGTAGCCAAAACAAGGAGCTGTCGCAAAGATCATCAAGCATTGTCTCTAAATCTGCAAGCTCCAAGTACTCACCAGTTAATCCTTGTAGGTCCCACGTCTGGGAAATTGTAAAAAGTAAAAAACAAACACCATTTCCTGAATCAGTACTGTAAAGACCATATTTCTACAACTATCACTTCATTGTATCTCACCTCTCTTTGCAATTCAGCAACTCTTTCACTGTGTACATCAGCAGTTTTATATAGGCTGGAGTACTCAGCATCACCATGCAAAGTAACGATGCCAGACTGAGTCTTCCCCTGCAGGTCTTCTGCTAAAAAAATTTTTTTTAATTTTTAAAAAAGATCATGTTGCATAACTGCATATACAATGAAACTGTGGAGTCAGCCCCCCACAAGGAATTTCACCTTGGCCTTCTTCAGCTTCTAGTAATACCTCTTAGCACACCACAATCAATGATGCCTCACCAGCCAATATTAAAGCAAAATGGGACTTGCATCACATGCTGCCAAGTTTACTGAAAAGCTGCTCCATACAGCAGCAGCTGGGACCTTCAGTGAGGTCACCACAGTTTACATCCTTACCCAAATTATAGTCTGAGGAATCTGCAACTTCTCCAAAGGTCTGCTGCTTTAAATCTTGTAAAAACCAGGAATCTGATATTGATACTTTTATTGCAAAAATAGTTTGAAGATCCTACCTTCTCTGTAAAGTCAAAAATTTTTATATCATACTGAAATGAAGGTGACTGTGTTTCCCCAAGACCAATAGCCCGGTTGTAAGCTTTTTCACTTAAAGGACACAACTTAAACTCTGGAATGATAGAAAGAGGCTTACTGAGCATGTTCTGAGGAGCATTAGGGGGTGACTTTAAATCTGGATCCCGAGATAGGGAGCTACCACCATCATCTTCTTTATGCAACAATGGTTTTGAAGCAGCTGGTCCAAACACCCCAGGAGTAGACTGGTATTTTGGATGCTTAAGTTTATCCATGAAAGAGTTTTCATCATTATAATTTAATGGGGAAAGATCTGACTTGGGGGGTTTTCTCTCTTGGCTGTCATCTGCTAATGGCTTATTGATGTCAGTTTGGACTTCACTTATAGCACTCTCTTGCTTGGAAGACTCAATTGAGGCAATAACTGCCTCAAAGGCTACATTTTCAGTAGCATCAACATTTTTCTCACCAAAAGTAGAAGCTCCCTTTTGGTTTCTTTCCTCTTGAAAATACAGTTGTTCTGATGTCTCATCCAAGTTGGATTTAACTGTCGGAAGGGGACCACCAGAAGCCTCCAGCTTAGAGAATTCAAGTCCTCTGGAATGTATATGTGCTTCTGAAACTTGTTCATGACTATCAGGGACAGCAATCGTCCCAATATACTTTATCTCTGAAGATTGGGCATGTACCTGAGATGACTCCAAAATATCTCTAATCTTCTTTTGCTTAAAAAAATGAGAAAATTCTTTCTGCAGATCTTCATTTCCTTCAAAGCTCTCAGAAGAATCCATCTTTGGCTTCAGCTCATCCTCAGCAGGAGCCTCTACACGAACATCCTCAAGATGGTTAACAGGGGTGAAGGGAGCTCCTTTCCCTCTTTCCAGCATGCATCGCAGGAAAGAGTATGACATTTCACTAGGAGGAGGAGGAGGGTTTTCGCATTGGAAGGAAGCCTGGTCCTTACTGGCTAGACATGCTTCTGTCTGTTGTAAGGCTTCCTGTTTCCAATACTGAGCATGTGAACAAGTAGAACCAAAACTGTTGTTTCTTCTAGCAGCTATGCTTTCATCACTAACATCAGAGAAAGTTGACATGGAAACTTGGTCTTTATCAGCCAAGTTGCCTTCTGGCTGCTGAGAATCCTTTTCCATCTGCCATGACATATATGAAAGCAGAGCATCATCATAATGATCAGAATCATTCAGGCTTTTCAGTTCATCAGGAGCATTAGGTGGTGCATTCTCTCCATTATTCTCTTGTTCAGATGGGAAAAGAGAGCGCAGAGACCCAAAAGTTGTGCTACCTGTAAGTGGATGTTGAGATATACTAAGATAACTGTTAACTAAGTCTGAAGACGTCTCTGAGGTGGCCTGGAATAAAGCTTCACTAACTTCTGACGGCCGAGCAAGCCATTCAGTATCTTCCGACTTATCAGGAATCCCTCTGAAAATAAGAAGTAATAAAGAAATAATTAATTCCTTAATACTTTAATTTTTAAATACTAACAAAAATATATAAACCCGGTGTCACTAAAATCCAGTTTACTTGAAAGTGCATTTTTTGCCAGGTGGTTAAATGTCTTTAATCCCAGCACCTGGGAGGCAGAGTTCGTGGCCAGTCTGGTCAGTTTCAGAACAGTCAAGGCTACACAGAGAAACACTGAAGCCCTAATCTTTAATTTCTACAAGACAGTTAAACAAAGAAAATTTTGCAACTAGTAAGTGAACCTGATATTGCCTCAACATTCTCCTAAATCAATTTAAACATTACAAAAGAAAGTTTAAAATCTAAAATAGAATTTTAATAAGGTTTACTATTTTAAATACATGCTACCTACTATGAATTAACATACATCTAACTTGTATTCCTCTGCTCACTGGTCAGTTATTGTTCTTATGGTCTACTCTAAAAGCACAACATAGCTTGATCATTTTGGTAATCTAAGGTGAACAGAACTCTGCAACTGTGATTCTAAAGCAATATACAGTATAATGACAGAGGGTATACAAGTTTACTTTCTAAACATCTAAAGTTTTGAGTTTTAGGTAGAGTTTTCTTTCCATTCTAACAGAAAACAAAGCCTTGGACAATTCCAAGTATGTTATTGAAGAATTACAAAATGTCCTTCCATTTTGAATGTTCTAGAAGACATCAATTTGAAATGTTATAAAAATCTTACTTGATATTTGCACATGCACCAATTTAATACCAAGAATGTGATAAGAAAACCTAACCCCTACTCCTAGTTCCACTTTAGCCTGAAGCTATTAATACTGTAGTGACCAGCCTCCCTGTTTTAGCAGCCAAGTCAGGCTATCATGTGCTTGCATGACCTTGCTGTTCCTGGTCACTAGTAGGTCAGATGTCCTCTTCGTGGCAAGGAGCCAATCAAAAGTTAGCTGGCAGAGCTGTGCTTTAAGCTCTGGGTGTGCTTTATTTTATGGACAGAGCATACCAACTGCCCTGGGAGGGTCTATGGGCCATAACAAGCAGTTGACCAATAAACACAGGGCAGGTCGTCCAGGAAGCGCACCAATCCTGAGACTGTTTCATACCCCTCCTAGACACTCCCCTTACGCTGCCCTTTAAGATCCCTGCCTCAAGGTTGCTTGAGGTCTTTCCCCAGCCATCCGCCATGGTGGAGGGATGAACGGCCGGAGCTAATGGGTTTAGCTCATTAAATAACATTAATAAAAGACTCTTTGCTTTTGTATCGAAATGGGCCTCTTGGTGATTTGGGGGTTCAGAATTTGGGCACAACAGTACTAATAGCAACTTACAATAAGGGTAGAAAGTTTAGAAAGCAAAAAATGAATTACCTTACCTCAAAGGTGCAAATTCTAGTTCACTTTGTTGAAACAAGGAATCAGACTCAAATTCCTGGTCTTGTGTCAAACACGTCAGCAAAGGCAAATCAGGAGTAGCAAAGTTATCCTGTATGACTGCAAAGTTTCAAACATAAAATCGCTGAGTAATCACAAAAATGCAGTGTTTGGTGTACTCATACAATACTTTTAAAGCATCTAAACATGCCACCTGGACGATTCTACAATCATTACAATAATAATATGACAGCAGCAGCAGCCATCTACAGAACCTGAAAAGGTCCGAGCATTTAGCATACAGCACTTCATTTAATCCAAGACTATTCTGAAGAATAGTACCATTTACTATAGCTACCTTGCAGGTGAGGAAACATGCTTACAAAACTTACTATTGTTAAATAACATCTTCACAGGTAAGGGTAAGTGCCAACAGTCTAATCTCTTTGCAAATTTCTATACAATTTAGGTGTTTGTTAACAAAGCATGTCTTTTTTTATTACATTTTTATTTTATATGAGTAGTTAGGAGAGTGGGCAGATGTAAGCATGCAATGCTACTCAAATGGTGATCAGGAGACAACTTACAGTAACCATTTCTCTCCTTATTATTATGTGGGTCCCAGGAATCAAACTAGGTATACACAAGGTTTTACAGCAGATGCCTTTGCCTGCTAAGTCATTTGCTGGCTCCTCAATCTTAAGTAATGTAAAATTATACCATTATATCAAAGTGTAATCTAAGGGCTCTGGGCCTTACAATATCTCAGGTGATGAGGATGAAAATTACATTCAAAATAATATTGAAACAAGGCCTCCCTTCTAAAGAATATTTTGTTTTTTACAAAAAAGTTGTCTAGAAAACTCTGTAAAATGTTAATATAAGTAACAGTGTGGTCTGTTTTAAATAAACATTTCTTAAATTTTCTGTTTAAGCTCTACGATGAGAAGATACCATAAACACAAATGTTCTTTGGAGTTCTAGTTCTGAAATAATAGGTATATTGCCTAAGGAGTTTAAAAACTTGTTTTCAAGAAAAAAACACCATGGGTTCCTTCCTTCTTAATTCTTTTTGTTGTTGTTTTTGTTGATTTGGGGAGGAGCATATTTCTGTTTTGTTTTTTTGAGACAGGGTCTCTCTATGTAAGCCCTTAAGGGTGACCTTAAACTCAGAGATCTACCTACTTTTTTCATCTCTTTCACAAGTGCTTAAGTAATTCTTATGTCATTAAATATATATAAGCTAGCATGAAATTCTTATTCCCCATAGCACTTAATACAATTATAAGTAAATCTTTAAAAAAAAAAAAAAAGAAGAAGAAAAAGAAAGAAAGAAGCCAAGCGTTGGTGGTGCACACCTTTAATCCTAGCACTCAGGAGGCAAAGTCAGGTGGATCTCTGTGAGTTCAAGGCCAGCCTGCTCTATAGAGCGAGTTCCAGGACAGCCTCCAAAACAATACAGAGAAACCCTGTCTCAAAAAACCAAAAAAAAAGAAAAAAAGAAAGAAAGAAAGAAAGAGAAACTGAAGCTAACACACAAAGGATTTTGGTGGCTACAAGAAATTATTTTCAATGAAGTAGGTACAATGAGCATCGAAAGAATCTGGTATCTTTTTAAAAATTAGTTATCTGGGAGAGATGGCTCATTAGTTAAGAATACTGGCTGCTGCTATCCAGAGGACCTAAGTTTGATTCGCAGCACCCACATGATGACTTACAATCATCTCTTACTCCAGTCCCAGAGGAATTTAACACCCTCTGTCACTCAGGTAGTGCACAAACAAATATGCAGGCAAAACACCCATATACATAAAATAATATGAATAAATAATAAAATTAAAAATCAGTTATCCCTAACTGTAGGAGGAAGCCTGTATGCCGCCATTAAACATGTGACTTACTAGAGGCGCATACAAATGAGGTAAGAGTGGTTTACCACACCGCTAACCACACCCACTTTAGGCGTGACTAAAGACGTACATGGACGGACGTAAAGACGTATACGTACGTTGGCGGTGAACTACGTCACTAGCCAGGCCCACTTTTGGGCATGGCTAGGGGGCGTTACGGGGGAAGGCATAAAAGGCAGCACACAGGAAGTCTTGGTCTCTTTTTCCCAGAGTTCAGCTTTCGGTTAGGCAGCGGAAAACTACTTGGCTCATCTGGGTTACTTGTTTGGTATCTTGTGAGTAATTTCTACAATAAATACTTATTTTTACTTTCAGTAAGTGTGTTGCTTATCGTTACAGCGTCATTTGGAGCCTCATTTGGTGTCGGAAGTTTTGGAATCCAGATCCAGGCGCCCAGAAAAGCGGCTGCTCCTCGGCCTGACCAGGCACACGTGGACTCTCCTTTCTCTAAGTTCCTCACCACTTCGCTCAGCAAGGCACGATTCCTGCCAGTAAGGTTAGGTGGTATTCGGAGATTTCTCTCGCGGCCACGTGCTGTTTTACTGGCGGCCTGCTGACTTCGGCCACGTGCTCTTTTGCTGGCAGCCTGTTGATTTCGGCCTGAATTACTCCACTGGTAACAAATTTAACTGCTTTATACAATTTCAGCTAACATTATGATGCAGGATGTTAAGAATTTTCTTGTTTTTCGTATGGAAGGGATTTTAGAAAGGGTTGAGGACCTACCTGAAAGGTACTTCCTACCCATGATTGTGATTATTAGTTTCATAATCAATATAATTTTGCTAAAGAAATGGCTCAAAAATAGGATGAAACTTATACAGGTCATATGGTCATCGCAGGATAGTTTTGAAATCTTAATACAAAGAATTCAGGAAATGCAAAATTCCTTGCAGGATAGTAAGAAAGGGTTGGTAGAAAATATTCAGGATATTAAAAATGATAATGTAGGTCTGACAAACAGGTTTAAAGAGACAGAACACAAAATTGATTTACTTTCAGGAAAAATGTGTTCAACAGATAGAATAGAAAAAGTGGAACATAATGTTGAAACATTTAACCAACAAAACTGTTCCATGTTTGATGATTTCACTAGCAAACTACAAAGACTGGAACATAAGATTAAAATGCTAGCAGAAAAGATTTGTTCCATGTCTGAGAGCAATGACAAACTAACTGATAGAATATCATTTGTGGAAGGCAGGTTTACATGCCATTGAGGTACTTTCTAAGGATAAGAATATTAAGTATTTGGAATCACGTATAAATGATGAATGCAAAAAAATGAAAGATTCCATGACATCCTTAGAAAATTATTTGTCCCAAGAACTTCAAGAGCTCAGAGAAACAATGATGAATAGACTGCAGGATTTAGAAGACGTTCAGTCTGATACTTCAGAATCAGACATACAGGCAATAGGTCAGGACAGGAGTTTCCCAACACCTCTCAAATGCCGGAAAGATCTCCCTAAGGTTGCTATGCGTTCACCTATGGTTTTCCCAATATCTGTAACAGAAAAACCAGCAATGAAAAAACAATCAAATGGTCCCACTGCTTATCCCTGGGAACCTATACAGATGAAGGATCTAAAGGAAATCAAGAACGCCATTGTTTCGTATGGTCTTCATTCTCCCTTTGTCAGAGAGCTACTAACCTCATGGGCCACTGTAAATAAAGTAACCCCAAAGGACTGGGCCCAATTAGCCTCCTCAGTGCTCGAAAATTCTTGTCAAATTCAATGGAGAGCTTTATGGAGGCAAGAAGTGAAAGCCTTAGAGATTCAGGAATTAAAGAATGGTCATGAAGTACCCCTAGACAGGGCCCAAGGGAAAGGTTCAGTGAATTTTTAGAGAGATTATCCAGAGCAGGTAGGGTTTCCAGAATCCAGGCGACTCCTTATAGAATCTTTGGCATATGAGAACGCGAATCCTCAATGCAGGCAGGTAATTTGGCCATTAAAAATAAGATCAGCACCATTGGAGGAATGGGTCCTACATACAGCGAACCTGAAATGTAAAAGTCAGGATACGGGAGCTTGGGTAGGTGAAGCTATTTCTACAGGATTGAGGAGGCACCAGGATGCCAAATATCCTACCTGTGATGATATAGAGGCCTGGGTAGGGAAGGCAATCTCCAAGAATTTTAACAGGCATAAAGATGCAACATGCTTTAACTGTGGTAGAATAGGACATCTTAGTAGGAACTGTAGACAACGCATTCCTAGAAATAATGATTTTACCAGGAATGCATCAAACAGAAGGCCTCAGCCTCCTGGTCTCTGCAGGAGGTGTGGAAAGGGCCAACACTGGAATGACGAATGCTGGTTCACAAGAGATAGACAAGGTAGATCTTTAAAGCCGGGAAACGGGGATCAGAGGCTCAAGCAAGCCCCCAGAAAGATTATCCGGTCATTCCCAGTGACAGTGGAGGACAGCCTCTCCCAGGACAATTAGAAGATCCACTGCCCATTGTAAATAATACGGCACTGGATAATACATTAGCTCCAGAGGATGAATCAATTATATCAGGAGGAGATACAAAACATATATTTTGGCAAACTTCTATACAATATCATAGACCCAAGTTATCAGTTAAGGTAAATAATATGGTGATTAATGGCATTTTAGACAGCGGAGGAGACATCACTATCATTAATCAGAAGTCCTGGCCCCCCCGATTGGACTTTAAAAGAGGTTAATGTTCAATTCTTAGGGATTGGAACCCTATCTGAAGTTAAACAGAGCATTAGATGGATTGACTTTATTGAGCCAGAAGGACAGAGAGGAAGGTTAAAGCTATATGTTGCAGATATTGCTATAAACCTCTGGGGCCGTGATCTACTCCAGCAATGGAATACGCAGATTAACATTCCTCCTGTATCAGCTAGGAATTATAGACAAGCTCTTAGTGGTAGAAAGAATATAGTAAGGCAGTACAGAAAACAGATGCCAAATGTACAGGCTGTACAGAAGCAGGATGCTAGAGCCAAACCTACAGAGCAACCAAAAGCTCTACCCTTAAAATGGCTGACAGATGAACCCGTCTGGGTGGGTCAATGGCCTATGACATCTGAGAAGTTAGAGGCTTTGGAGAAGTTAGTTCAGGAACAGCTAGATGCTGGACATATTGAGGAATCAACTAGTGCATGGAATTCACCTGTTTTTGTTGTCAAGAAGAAGTCTGGTAAGTGGAGAATGGTTACTGATCTT